TTTTTTTATCTTACAGTTTGAAACATTCTATGTGACAGAATGGATAATGGGAGGGGTCACAATGAGCAATTCAACACCTGCACTGATAATATTTGACCTTCAACAACAAAAGAGAGGGTACTAAGTATGACGAAAAAGAATCCATAAATATTTGCCTTTATGTAAATGTGTTGAGGATGGTGTTAGTCACAGAATACCAAGTCTCCCATTTTGGGACCTCTTTAAATAAACAACTGTAAAATCTGTCTAAATCAATTTTTTTAAGTTTTGTTTGCGACTATATGAAGACAGAACAATTGTTTTGTATATTCAATATTTTTAAATTTCTCGACTTGAAAAATTATTTTTTTTCTGAAATTATTTTCATTTGAAGTAAAAAAAAGCGATTTTGATTACATTTAGGCAATTTCTAAACAAACAATTTACATTTCGAACCTTCTGTGAAAATTTATAATAAAACTAAAAACATTCAACAGTCGATAAAAAAATATAAAAAATATGCATGTGAATTACTCAGCGAGAAAAAAATTCCTAAACAAAGGTTCCCAAAATGGGAGACTTGGAGCTTAATGGGTTGGATGAAATTTCCTTCAGAAGAGTAAAAAACAATTACATTTTAAATACAGAATAAAATAAAATATTTGCATTTCATTAATATTTTATTATTTATTTTTTCACTTCTAATAATCTTACAGCATTATCAAATTTGAAATCACTGACAGTTTGATTTTGTTATTTCTGTTTGAAATTTAATTTCCTTTAGATTTATCCTGTTTAGTTTAGGATTAAAAAAACTCTTTCACATTCAGTTGTTTGGATCAATATTGCTATATCAGAGTTTGAATGTGGTGGGTGGTAGAGGGGGAAAAAAGAAAGAAAATTTCAAGAAATGAATTTGTTTCTGTTTTTTTTTTTTTTTTTTTTTTTTTTTTTTTTTTTTTTTTTTAACATTTAAAATGCTAAACATGAAAACATTCATGACTAGTTTTTTAGGAGTATTTCTGATTTTCAAAGCATTAAATATACTTGTACGAGAGTTGAAAATATCTCTGAATAAGAAAGTTCTGCCAGAAGTTTTTTTGGTCTAACTCTACCTTTGATATCTTACTGTCAAATTAGCTGTCTGTCTTTACGATTCATTATGGTCTTAGGCTAAAAAATACTATGCAAATAATATTAATGTATTTTTTAAAGCTTTAATTAGTAAATTTAAAAAAATCAGTGGAAATTTAATTTCAATTAAAAAAAATCCATTTTTCCCCTTTAAATAAACCTTGATTTTTATAAAATTTTGGAAGATAATCACTGATAGATTTTTCATTTCCTTTTTTTTTTCTAAAATTTATATTTCCCTTTCAGAAGTTCTCACACAACAAAATGACATTGTTGTCCCTTACAAGATTGAAAGGTAAGTAATCTATACAAATAATAATTATATAATCCATAGCATTTTTTTTTCTCTATCAAAATATAAAATTTATTAAACAATGTATGAATATGTTGTTTTAAAGGAGTCCGACTGATATCTTGAAAGCATTGAATTCCACAATATCTAAGGTAAGTTATGAATGTAGCTAATTGTGATATTGTTGCTTACATTTTTCGTGCTGCTAATTTTCTAAAACTTCTACATTTCAGGACCATACGGCTGCTCATTACAAATATGAAGATGATCCATATTTTATTCCAGCTAGTAATGTCACTAAGGTAAATTAATTATTCATTTAAAGCAAACAAACAGGTTAAAAACGGAATTTTCTTTTGTAAAAAATTTTTACCTTTTTTTAGTTTTATAAACATTTGTCATCTCTTCGATATTTTGTTTTTAAAAACATCATAAGCTAAACTAAAGCAAGTCAGGTGTTTAATTAGAAGTGCTTTATGTTTCATTTTAAAATTACTTCACTAAAATAACTTAACCACCTGGATGCTTTTATTATTGCTTTGTTGATTATTATTTTCTGTTAGTTATATTTTGAATTGATGAATATAACAGAGCTATAACTGTGTGGTTTTTTATCCACAAACTATCAATTTTCTCATTATTTCGTGATAGGAAAAAATATATACATAAATTTCATTCTTTAAATCAGTTAAATATTTCTGAAGAAGTCAAATTTTATGTTTACAACTATTTTGAAATGTGATTTTCAGAGATCCTTAAGATTCCTCTAGGAAACTCTGATTTTATGCTTTTTAATTATAGAATAGATGAAAATTCATAATTGTATTGGGTTAAGGTATTAAGCTGCCACTGTGCAGGAACAAAGTTCTATTGTCAGTAGTAGCTTGAAATATGCCTAGCTTTAGAGCAATGGGTAAAAGCGTTCCTGGAAAGTCACGACAGCTGATGCTCAGTGCTTATAGTACTACTATTCATCTCAAAATTGTACAGTCTAACCCTTGAAACCCTTTTCATCAATAACTGGCTGTTGCGGGAGTTTTTTATTTATAGAAATGTAAAATACTATTTTCTATATGTTTTTTTTTATTAATTATTTTGTATACTTGAAGATATTTTTATTAATCTAAATAATCTGCTGTTTTATAAATTTATACTAAAGAAATTTTAAAGCATTATTATTGTACCGTGCCTACCGCTACAATTATTCAATTCCAATTCACTAGTATATAAGACACGTTAACTGGTTTCTATGTTGGGATGCCTTTTCATAGATGAAGGTGACAACTTGACATAGTCTATAACACTTGCCCACTATAATGTAACAAACCTTTTGTATTTCAGAGATCCTTTGCACTTTCTAAGGAATCTGGTAAAAAGGCTGCACGTTACTTCCTAGAAAAGTACCCAGAACTCTTCAAGTGCAACACATCTATTCCTCATATAAAAGTATCTCTTTTTTTAAAATCAGTTTTCTTTAATATTTATAGAGTTTGCGTTATTACTTTAATTTATTCTACCTGTCATTAGGAATGATTTCACTGAAATATAAATCTCTACTGTTTTTTATTACTTTGTTGTTGTATATTTGTCTTTTAAATGCCCTTTAGTTTTTCTATACTTATTTTATTGTTTGTACAGTAAAAAAATAGATCATAACAAAAAAATGTTGCTGGATTAAATAAAAAAAATTATAAATTTTTTTTTTCTAGAATTATTTTGAAGTATTTATGTAAAAAAAATTTTCTTCTCTTTGTTAAATATTTATTAAATACAATGGACTTGAATGTAATAAAAATACTTTGAATGTAATGTTAAATACTGTTTACTAAATGTTAGTTTTCCTACTTTGTGTTTAGACTTTTATAATTTGAGTATCTTATTTAGCTTCTGATAAATGACTTCCAGCTAATCTGAGAACTCGAGTTAAGATTTTCTTGGACAATCCATTGTGCCCATGATTATCAAGGTTATCGTAGTGATCTAAGTTCGCACCTTGATTATCAACATGAACGAAAAATTCTTCAACGAAAAATTTGAAAGGATTGTTAAAATAGCATAAAATTTACAACCCAAAGTCCTAAAAAAATCTATCTTCAAGCAATAGAGTGAATCAACATCTATGAAAAATATTAAAAAATTTGAACTAATGAATTTTTTGCATTTATTCCTTAAATACGCACTTAAATATGGGGTTAGAAATATAATTTTAACAATAACTTTTTTAATGTCTATATTTACCACTTGCGCCATTTCCACATAGTTCAAATCCTATCTACAGTTTCTGTAATCTGCCATGGATGATGACCATATCATCCTTTGCTAAACTTTAAGCAAACATTCTCTTATGGACTGCTACTGGGAAGCCACAGACTTTTGAATTTATTGACTATCGCTTCAGCTACTACTCTTGTTTTCTATATTTTTTTCCTCTGTATAATTCTTTGTATTTATTGCTGTAGTTCCGTTTTAATCTTAGCATTAGAAATAAAAAAAAATTCTATATTATCTAAAGCACTATTGTGTGTATGATTGCAAAACCGGTAAAGCTTCTTTCCTCAGTTAAGCGGCGAGCCATTGTAATTGAATTGGTTGTAATTGAAAATCCGTTTCATAGTAACACTAATTATTTTATACAGGAAACATAATAATTTGGAGCTATATTTTAATTTTAATGATACTAAATAATTAACAAAGTGAAAAGACATGCTTCATCAACAGATATTGACCAGAAATATATTGCTCTTTGATTCAATCAAATTTTTTTTCACATCGGGTATCTCTTCTGCTACTCAACAACCTTTACTTATGTTTACTTTGTTTCTATGGCTTCTTTTTTCATTGGGTTTTCTACAGTTTGCAAATTTATGTTAGAATAGATGACTTAAACTGTTGTGATCCCAAATATTGAAATTTATAATTGTGTATACTGGGTAATTCTATGAATTATTTGTTTTAAATGTTACTTAAATATAACTTTTAAGTTTTCATGAATCAAATTGTAATATAGTTTATAAATAAAAAATTAACTATATATAATATATAACTATATGTAATATATAACTATATATAATCTGTAACTATATATAATATATAACTATGTTTATTAAAGTTTTTAAATCAAAGAATTCCCCGGATGTATATATTGCATAGTTTTAAAACTTCATTTTTAAAAGTTTACCAGCATGCATACAAAGCTAGTCTAAAATACATCTTGCAAACTTATCCCGATAATCTCTTAAGTCACAAGAAGAAAAGAAATTATAATTCCTCATAACTTGTTAAGAAATAGATCGAGGGATTTCTCCAGTTCTCAATCTTGGTTGAGAAAAAAAACTTTAAATTTTAATTCTAACATTCTTTAAATGAATTTTACTGTGATTAATGAATACGAGAGCACATTTTGTTTTGAATAATGACTTAAAGAAGTAAATTTAAATAAGGATATAACATAAAAAGTTTTATGTTTCATATATGAGTCGCTCAGAAGCCAATGCAGTTAAGTCCAAAACACAACAATTGAGAAAATTAATGTTTTTTGATACATTAGTTTTTAAAATTCCTGGTTTATTAATTTAATTAGAAAAATGTATAAACTCTTTTTTCGAGGTGTAAACTCTGCAAAAAGACAAGATATGTACAGGATGTGTAAATAAAAACATAAGTATTTATTGAAATAATGACAGCATCTTAAAAATTTTAGGACTTATACCTTTTGGCAGCTGAAAAAGATAAGAAATTTATGTCTTCTAGTATAAACGAACTTCAATTTTTCTCAATCATCGCTAGATACAGTGACTAATAGAAAATAAACTGTTGGATTATTTCAAAAATTGTCTTTTACTTCAAAACTAAAGTGGCACTTTTCTTTGTTTTAGGAAATGAAAAAAAAAATTTTAAAAAATAAAAAATACCACATTTTAAAAAAATACTATGAAAAATACCACACCCCTTTTTTTGGTGAAAAAATACTACCGTAGTATACTACGCCTGGCAACCCTGGTTACTATGAATTTCTTGTTNAATTTTTGAAAATTGTAATCATGATTACAAGTAATTGATTACTGTAATCAAAAAATGTAATCGATTACATTTTTGGCCAACTCTGATACATACAATGCTAGGCTAAAATACATCTTGCAAACTTATCCCGATAATCTCTTAAGTCACAAGAAGAAAAAGAATTATAATTTCTTATAACTCATTCTAAAATAGATCAAGGGATTCCCTCAGTTCTTACGCTTGGTTGAGAAAAAACTTAAAATTTTAATTCTAGCATTCTTTAAATTAAATTTACTCTCATTAATGAATACGAGAACACATTTCATTTTGAATAATGAATTAAAGAAGTAAATTTAAATAAAGATATAACATAAAAGTTAAGTTTTATGTTTCATATATATTATAAGATAAAAACACAAAGGAAACAAAGAAAGAAATTTAAAGAAAGGAAAGAAAAGAGTTCAAGGAGTAGAATAAAAAATTTAATAAAACTAGAGAATCCAATAACCAAAAGATGTAGTTTCATCATCAGCTCACACAATTATATCCACAACGTTTTTCTCTTATCTTTCACTCTTCATTCTCTGGTATTTTATTATAACCTGTAAGTAATCTGTTGTCTTTGAAACTTTTTCTTTTGAAATAAGTAGTATTCTTTAAACGGAAATTTATTTCATGTTTACTAGCTAAAATGTTTCTTAAATTTTGAGACATAATTTATTTTAGGCCTTTGATCCACCTCTGACGTACACAGAATCAGATAATGTTACAGAAACATTACTGAAAGATTGTATTTTAAATTTTGAAGTTCAAAATTCTATTGACATATTCAACATTTTGAAGAAGAAAGGTAAATAGAATTTCTCTATAATAATGTGTTTAATAAATAAAACACGTTCTTCTTAATGAAGTAATCTATTTAACAGGAATTTAAATAATGAGTCATATATTTCTCCTTAAAAAATAGTGTTATGAAGTAACATACATGGGTTGTTTTTTAATTAAGGGCTTTTTGAAAATAAGAACCAGGCGAAAGAAAATTTTCATGAAGTAAATTTATTTTCAGATTTGACATGCGTTTATCTTTTTTTCAGCATAATTGCCAAGTTTTTTAAACACTTATCATACCTTACAACTGATCAGTTAAGCAGGAGGTTACGACCATTTTCACGTATTTGTCATTATTGTAGTGATTGCAGCCAAAATAATGTTTAAAACATCAGAAAAGATGAAAATCACTCAGCTCAAGGTCTGGGCTGTAGGGAGGGGTGGGCTAAAACTTCCCAACCAAATGAGTCCAATAAAGTTGGGATATGAGCTGCGGAGAGAGTCATTGTCATAGCGAAATTCCCGGTCAACATGGCAGGGAATTTTGCTACTTCACAAATCTGCCAGTGAATGTATGCCGCAGACAAGATTTTTGCTGACTAAAAATGCATTATTCACCGTATCTCTTGCGCGACAGGCGAATTGTTAAATTTGAGCATTTTAAAGACATGGAACTAACCGAACAATTTACCTACACAGCTGCAACTGAGCACAGTTGCTCGCAAGCACAACACAAGCACTTGTTGCGATGCACACATCACCTATTAATGTACACAACAAAATCGCTCTTTCTTGAAAAACAACCCTCGTATTTAAAAGTTTCTCCGTTGCAAGATAATTGGTATTTTTAAAATTGTTTTACAATCTGATTGTTTTAAAGCAGTTAATAGTTTCTTGCTTCTATTACCTAAAAATAAAGATTAAAATTTATGCATCAGTCATTTGCTTTTTAAATGATGTATCTATTTATTTGTTCTTACTATTAAAATCTTAAGTTCTTGTTTTTTCAAGTGTTTATTTGAAGAAAAAAATTTAAAAAGTTATTTGCCATACGATCTATTTCTTAAAATCAATCCTGCTGGTATTCATTTCAATAATATGATCATCATTAATTGAATAATGACAATTTTCATTTTTTTAAATGGTCGAAATATAATATGTCATCATATTTTAAATATGATAATGAAATATGCTATTCTAGTCTGTGAAAATACAAACCATTATTTTGATTAGTAGAGTTGTTTTTATTTTATAATAGTACTGCGCAATCATCTCAATTGATTTAGAGACCCATTGTAAAGTATCAAATATTTGGATAAGTAGATTACTAAGTTTCTGTTACCTTTAGTGAAATTTTTTCCCTGGCAAAAATGAAATTAAACAAGACCATAAGAACTCCTCCCAAACGCTCTTGGTATTTTGCAAAAAAAACCGGGAGAATCATTCAATCTTAGAGCGAGAACCCATCAAACTGCCTTTTCTCGCTTCTTGAGTGACCACACTAGGTCCCTTACTTTCAACCTGGGTCAAAAAACTTACTCTGAATGACATTGGTGCTCGACAGACATGGCCTACCCTGCGCATTTTCTGACTTGTTTGGGGTTCGGTAAATATGAGGTCTTGTGAGACTTCAGTCTTTTTATAAACTTTTTGGAGGTGTTCAGATTCACTGGAGTCATCTAGCGCTGCTAGGCGATTCCGAGATTAGCAACAACAACTTAGTTTCTGTAGTAAATTAAAATTGATTCCTAAAGAAGGGAGGTTTCAAAAGTTTTCACAATATTGTTCACATTGATGCAATGCTTTCTGCAATTTTTCTCCAATGCCATGTATTGCATTTTTATGTCATCCATCTCTTGATATTCTATAGCTTAATATTTCTTACCTCGTTCAAAATTATGGGTTAATAGTTGAAGTTTTATTTTATGTTTAATTTATTTATAATATTGCTATAATTGTTAGTTTAAAAAAATTTAATAGTAAGAGGTAAACTCGTAGAGTATTTAGTTTAATTGATTTCTAAACATGTCTTAGAAGATTAAGATAGAACAACTGTCTTATTTGTTACAATCTAGGTATAGATGTATCTAAAGATGTGAAGCAAGATCTTTTAGATTTGCTCTGCTTTTATAACAACATTCCTCCTCCGCCTGATGACTATTATGAGGTTAATATTTTACTTTTCTACTAAAATTTATATTTACAGTGTTTTTGATAAATTTGTTTTTGATTGATTAAATATTAAATTTACTATTGAAAATATCTGTCTTGTTCCAGAAAGTAGCACTTATTTATAGAATTACATTTTATGCATCCAAATCTAGTAAAACATAATTTTTAAATCTGTAATTATATATCATTATATTATCATCAAAACAATTCATTATTTTATTAAATATCCATAAACGTAAAATTAAGTTTATTTTGTTTCATTTACAATTCATGATGTTGCAAAATCTTTTAAGTATTAGGATGCTACTCTGTCGTGCTTAAGATGTATCCACCAATCAGAGTAATAATTTTTTATCTTTATGTGTTTAATTTTGTATTAGTGTAATTTAAAATAAAAACTTATTGTATAAAATTTTTCCTTTTATGAAAATGTGAATAAATTATGTCATTCTCTAAGTATATGAAAATGTGATGTCACATCTCACTTGATTTTTCAGTTTTAGTAAATTATTTTATTTGATTTTTTCCCTTTCTAGAATTTAAACTATCACTGCCAAATTGCATAATCATAAAAAAAAAAAATGTCTGCTTTGTGCTTTATGCAAAGTAGTACATATTTATAAAATTACATTGTATGCTCTGTTTGTTGAAATTTTAATGTATTATACTTTCAATGCATAAAAGCTATTTTTTTTAAAAAACCAATCGTACACAATTATTCTTAAATAAGATTTTTGAATGCTAATTAAAGAAAAATTAGGAACTTTTAACATTTTTTTAATTATTTGATGTCATGAAATCAGAAAAAAAGTTTTCTTATTTTAAAAAGTTATTCTTTTTTTTTAGGAAAGATATTTTCAGCGAATTGATGAAGCCACAAAACAAAAGTGGAAGTATGTTTAAAAAAAGTAGTATATCTTAATTTATATGATAAATAAACAATTTAAGTTTTTTAAGGATAATTACAAATTTCCACACAAGATTAAAAAATTTATTCCTGGAAAATGTTAAATCAGAACAAATTTCCTAATATTCCTAATACTTTCTTAAAAAAATTTTTTGTAATATTAAAATTAGTAGGTTCACATAAACATACACTGACTGTTCTTTACTTTTAAAACAACCCAAAAATATGTTATTCTTTCTCTGTCAATTTATGTTCAATAATTTATGTTTTAACTAAAAACTTGTGTTCCGTTTAAACTTCTATATTTCAGTCTAATAACAGAGTTCAACCTTTATGCAGATTTGTTATGTACTCAATGAATTATGAATTAGTAAACTTTAAAGTTCATTTTTGAAAGAACATCATTTGTCCAGTTGAAGTACAAATTTTATGTATCATTACTTACCTTATTTATAGTGTATCCATCATTTTTTATAATGATACATTATAAACATAAAATTTTTTTGTTACGTCTATTACTTTATCTATTAATTTTTGTTTATTAAAACACACACTTTTAATCAATGTTAAATATTTGTTTTTTTACCTTTACATGTAAATTAACAAGTATATGTGTGTGGTGTGTAGTTTAAAGAATAAAAAATTGAAATTTAAGTTAATCAAAAAAAAACTATGTAAATTAAATCTGTAACTTTTTATAATTAAAAATATCTAGTAAGTAGCTTTAGTGTCTAAATTTGAGCACATCATTTATAATTACTTTTTTAATGAATTATTTGTGTTGCCAAGCTAAAAAAAATATACATTTATTATAATTTAATAGTGCCAATGGAATGGCTGAAAAACTTTTTGATAGTATGGATAAAGATGGAAAAGCATATAGTTCTATGATTGCTGGACTTTCAAAGGTCTGTTTTACTTGTGTAGTCTTACTAATTGTTATTTTTTGCATTCATTTTTCATACTTGATATTAATGTATGTAATTTTGCTTAACTATATCAAATGCAATTACCTGTTGTTGTTTTTCACTATATTTTGTCAATTATAAATATTCCTATTCATTGACTGATTGACTTATATTAGAAGACAGAAACCTGTAATTTCCATAGAATTTGCTAACCTTCCTGTTTTTTATTTTTTACAAAGAATTGCGTTTTTTATGCTATTTTGCGACATGAGAGTGATACTGGTAAAGTTAATAAATGATTTTTTTTAATATTATGTTTGATACATTTTATATCCCTTTCGCTGCATTATTTCAAGAATTTTTTAATCTAATTAATATCCTTTGAAATAATAATAAATTAAAAGTTTGTTACTTAACAACTGATCCCAAAAACTATACTATGTTGATATTTATCACATCCCATGCGTAAGAGGAACATGCATCGGAAAAGTAAGAAAAAAAAATTTCAAAGAAGTTCCTTGTTTGAAAATCCAGAAATGATTAATTTCTTTTAGCTTTATTTATTTTTTTATTGAAATTTTTTGCTGAAATCTCTCCCCACAAAATTAGTTAGNAAATAGTACACATTATGATTTTTTAAAAATGGTTATACAAACAAAAACGATCGGCCATAAATTAAATATTTCAGTCAATAAATTTTAACAGAATTAGTAAAGAATTAAAGAAAGATAGATTTTTAAAAAACTTTTAATTTAAAATAAAGTTGTTTACAAATTTCCTCAAAGTGTGCATACACACATTACATCTTATCTTATTTAAATAATCATTTATGCAGGTCTGTCTCGTTTCTGGTTTCATTTTTCGAACAATGATTTCTAGATTTTGTAACTTCTCAAAATATTACTCAGCTCCCTCATGGTTTGTAAAAAAATTCAAATGACACTGAAGGCTTCCACTTGGGTTACAGCTACAGTATCAGGATCACTGTCATTGTCCTCACTGTCCACAACTTGTGAAACTATTTCAGAAATTGCAGTTTGTTCGTTGGCTGCAACATTTTCCTAAAACTCGATTGGGGTAATTGCCTTGTAAGGAAGTTAAATAGGCTTTTGTTAGAAAAAAGCTTCCCTCACCTCAGATAAAAATGACCTTATAAGCGATAACGATTTTTACAACTTGACCGTATATCTGATAATCTGTAACAAAGAATTCCTATTCAGTGAGCCGGGACTTTGGAAAAGTGACCTTATATGCGGGGTGATCTTATATGCGGATGACCTTATACCGAGGTCTGACTGTATATATATATTTTAAGAAATTGACAGGTTAAACAATTTTTTAATTGTAAGTATAAATTTAATTTGTAAATTTGCCTGCAAATTTTTTTTGCTAGTTTTCAAATTACTATTGGTTGTTGATATAAATAATTTGTAAACATTTATTATCTTGAAAATATTTAATTTATAATCAGGAAATGACACAACCCACTCTTATCAATGAGTATTTTAATTTATGCACCTTACAATATAAGTTTATGTTTTTACATATTTCACAATATTTTTTTTATCATTTTTTTAGTATGGAGAGGTTGAACGTGCTCTCTTTCTACATGATGAAATGAAAAGTAAAGGATTAATAGGTAATAAAATAGACAAATTTATTATTGACAGTTATTTTTTTGTATATTTGAAATTCTTGAATAAACTGAAAAGTTTTTTTTAATTTCTGTATTTTTGATTATTTTATGTTTTTTGTAATGAGTAAGAAATTAATGTATAGGTAAAAAAAATTATGTATTCTCACAGTTAATAGATTTCATCAATTTAAAAATTAATTGTGCCATCTTTTTTAACTGATCTTCATTTTGCAATGCTTGAAATCTATGAGTTTTCATGTTTCTAATAGTTTCAGCATTGAAATTGAAAAGACACATTTTGATTTTCCATTTTGTGTTGATTGTTTTGTTTGAAAATGGACACATTTTGTGTGTCCATTTTCTTTAACTCGCATTTTAAGCTGTATTGTGTTCAGAATAAAAAGTTAAGAAATATCACGGGCAATCTGCTATGTTGGTGACCATTTTAAATTTTACAAGCATGTGTTAAATAAATATTTTTGAATTTTAAGTTGTTAAACAATTTTTCTAATTATTTTGAAATAAAAGTGGAAAAAAGCTGTATGTTTGTTGTATCTTGATTCAATGTCGTTATTGTTCTTTTGACTAATCTATGATACAATATGCTTAGCTACTTCCTTTGTGGTTATTTTTAAATTGTGTAGGGCTTACAAATGATGTAAGTAGTGTTACTGAGATAAGATGAAACTTTTTTTACTCTGGGAATTTATGATGTTGCTGAAATTATATAAAAATTCATCAGTCTTAAAATTATATTATTATTTTCAAATTATACCTTTCAAACTTTTTTTTTTGTTTACTTGGAACCACACTGGCACTGTGTATGTCTTTACTTTTTAAAGACTAAGTCCCACATTGAAGAAAATCTAATTAATTACTATAGAAATAATGGTCAGGATTGATTTCTTTTACAATAATATCTGTAAAGGTACAGAAGGTATTAAAATTAATTATAAATTTTCTTACTTACATTTTGGAAGTGCACTAAATTGCAAACATATTAAAGTTTGAATTTAAAATATAACTCAAGTACTGTGAAACAACTAAAAATGTAAGTTGTACTTCTTATAATTTTTTTTTTAATAATTACAGGCACTACACAAGCTTACAATAGTTTGATTTCGGAATGTCATCACCTACACGAGGATAGTTCTTCTTGTTGGGAAATGGCTATGGTTTGTGATTGCTTATTTTTTCCATTTAAGTTAATTTATATAAAATTATTACGATTGAAATAAAAAACTCACAATGAACTTACGATTTGCCTGTATTAAATTATTGAAACTCATGGAAGATCTTGGCTATTAAATAATATGGTAAAAATTATTTTTAAATGCTGCTAACATTTTTTGTCTCCAGAAAATTATGTCCTACTATAATTTCTGTAACAGGTATATTTTGACCCTAGGAAATTCTATACCACTATGGTTTAACACTTTGAATATCTCCTATATATGCATGCATATATATATTTAATAAGTATCTTTTTTTATTGCATTTCCATTAATGTTGCTGTTAAAATACTGTTAAACCAGAAATGTTAAGGACATGAGATTCTTCCTCTAAGTGGAAGTTTTCTTCCTTTTTTTTTATTAATTTCTTCTTTTTCTAATATTGTTTCTTTTTTTCTTGCATTGACTAAATGTTGTTAAAATCTGTTAATTACCAGAAATGTTATGGCATGAGATGTTTACTTTAAATTAAAAATTTCTACTTTTTATTATTTAAAAAATTACTACGCTGCTAAAATGTGCCTATCATACACTTTCTTAAAATGTATTAAAGCTAATAAAACAAAATTTTAAATTGCTTGGATTGAAAGAGATTGAGTTTAGGGTCTGTTCTATTAATTTCTTCTTTTTCTGATATTATTTCTTTTTTTCTTGCATTGACTGAATGTTGTTAAAAACTGTTAATAACCAGAAATGTCATGGGCATAAAAATTTTCCTCTAAATAAAAAATTTCTTTTTTTCAAAGAAATTTCTGTTTTTTTTTTTTTTTTTTTTNTTTTTTTTTTTTTTTTTTAATACTAAACATGTGTCTATTATTGAAAAATTACTGCACTGCTAAAAAGTGTCAATCATTCACTTTTTGAAAGTGTATAAAGGTTATTCAAACAAAATTTTAAAACCTTGGATTGAAAAAGATTGAGTTTAGGCAGTGACAGTATGAATTTTTTTTTCATTTAGCTTATTACGGAATCATTTAGGAATTAATTTTTGTTAAACTTGCAAATTGTGTCAATTAAACTGAGGTTTCAAGGATGTAAGTCTTTCGTATTTATCTCAATATTTTCATGTAGAAGTATAAAGTTATTTAATTAATATTTGTTTTTTATATTAAATTTTTATGAAGTAATTTTAAAAAATTTTATTTGCTATATTTTCTGACCTGTATATCTATAATATGCTATATTTATTTTTATTAAGAGTTTAGGAAAAGTTTACTTTTAATTTTTTCTACAGTATTAAGTTTGAAACTTTTCACNGACATGAGATTCTTCCTCTAAGTGGAAGTTTTCTTCCTTTTTTTTTTTATTAATTTCTTCTTTTTCTAATACTATTGTTTCTTTTTTTCTTGCATTGACTGAATGTTGTTAAAATCTGTTAATTGCCAGAAATGTTATGGGCATGAGATGTTTACTCTAAATTAAAAATTTCTACTTTTTATTATTTAAAAAAAAAATTATACCAAACATGTTTCTATTATTAAAAAATTACTATGCTGCTAAAATGTGCCTATCATACACTTTCTTAAAATGTATTAAAGCTAATAAAACAAAATTTTAAGTTGCTGGATTGAAAGAGATTGAGTTTAGGGTTTGTTCTATTAATTTCTTCTTTTTCTAATATTATTTCTTTTTTTCTTGCATTGACTGAATGTTGTTACAAACTGTTTATAGCCAGAAATGTCATGGGCACAAGATTTTTCCTCTAAATAAAAAGTTTCTTTTTTTTTTTTTCAAAAAAAAAAAATTTTTTTTTTTTTAATACTAAACATGTGTCTATTATTGAAAAATTACTGCACTGCAAAAAACTGTCAATCATGCACTTTTTGAAAGTGTATAAAAGCTATTAAAACAAAATTTTAAATCCTTGGATTGAAAAAGATTGAGTTTAGGCAGTGACAGTATGAATTTTTTTATTATTACGAAATCATTTAGTAATTAATTTTTGTGAAAGTTGCAAATTGTGTCAATTAAACTGAGGTTTCGAAGATGTAAGTCTTTCGTATTTATCTCAATATTTTTATGTAGAAGTATAAAGTTATATAATTAATATGCGTTTTTTATATTAAATTTTTACGAAGTAATTTAAAAAAATTTTATTTGCTATATTTTCTGACCTGTATATCTATAATATGCTATATTTATTTTTATTAAGAGTTTAGGAAAAGTTTACTTTTCATTTTTTCTACAGTATTAAGTTTGAAACTTTTCACCTCATAAAACAAAATTTAAAGAAATATCGTTGGTTAAAAAAAATATGTACTCTGGTGTCATCGGTAGAATAATTTTAATGAATTATCTAATTTTGTTGCATCAAATCATTCTTTGAATAATTATGAGTCTGCCGTTTTGAAATTAATTAAACTATTAAATGAATTTATTTTATTGCCTATTTGTTTGACAATAGTTTTATGACCAGACCGTTTCTTATATTAGCGTCTACTTTCTCAAATGAATGCTGATGGAGTAAACCCTGACTTGTATACCATGAATGGCTTGTTAAGAATACTATCAAAGGGTTCTAGATGGCGAAAATCAAGACAGCTATCCTTGAATGTTATTGGAGAAATGAAACGCTTAAAAATTGGTAATAGTTCCACTTAAATTTTTTGTTTTCTTAATTATTTATTTCTTAATTAATTATGAATTATGGTAGCTATTAAAGTTTTTTTGTGGATAAAACAATATTTGAATGAATTTACTGACAGGAAGTAGTGTAGACTGATTCCATTTACTCAACTATGGACCACAAACCCATGTGTTATATAATCCAATATGTTATATAATACTCAATAGTTTTTATCCATCGTTATCAATAGTTAGTTTAATAGTAGTTTTGTAAAGCTTTTATGATTCAAATAATGAACTATTAAATATAATTACTTAGTAGCTTCTCTGCATCTTTTTTATTTAAAAAAATCTAACTTATGTGAGATGTGGTAAACTAATTTCAAATTCATAAATTTGTAAAAATATAATTTAGTAGTTATCATACACCTTTTCGTTACCGTACTCTCTAATTCTTATATAATTATGCTCTTGTAACTTAAGAACCTATTAATTGTTAATTGCTACCAAAATTCTCTATATAATTAGATATTTGAATATTGTCTTATTCCGACCATAATAAACTAAATTCAGCTTCTTTTGTTGAAGAAAAATTATTTGTTTGAATAATATTCTGATGACCCAAACTACCCTTCTGCATAGTAGTATGCTTGCCATTTGAAACAAACTTCAAACATATAATTTTTTCAACATTGCTAAGGCAATATTGTTGTTAGGGTACAGCCTTCATAATTAAGTTTCTTAATTACATTTTTCCAACTAAAAAAACTTTAGATTAACTACTTAAACTTAAAATGTACATTGCCTTTAATTTTCTTAAGGGAAATGATTTAATTTGAATTGAACATAAGAACGAGTAAAAGCAATTTCATTTTTTTGAAATCAAAATATTGCACTCATTTTTATTAATTAGACAATAAGTGGAACACTAAAATATTATTTTGAATTCTTTTTACAAATAAGGGAAATCATTTAATTAATAATTCCTATAATGTAGTTGCATTTCTTTTTTTTTTTCAATTTAAATTGTGTTTTAAAAATTAACAATCTGTCTTTTTTTTAATGAATGTTTTAATTAAATTTTACTTGCTAAAACAGATATTTTAAATTCTAGAACCAAGTTTGGGGACATATTATTACTTACTTATAATATATGGATCAGGTAAGAATTTTTCAGATTTAAATTTTATTTTGTGTTACTTTGTTAAATATACTCATAAATTGTGGTCAGACTTACCTTAGCAGGGCTCAGAAAATGTATTTATGTTAAAAATAGTTAACAATATCATTTTAGAAAATTTTTGAAAAAAATGACACAATACATAATTATTTTGTATTAACTATACATAAAATACATATTCTATGCATAAATAACTATTTCCTAAGTAAATAATACTAGTGTGTGCTGAACAATATTAATTTTTTTATATTTATAAAATTGTTTTTAATTTTCAAACATTGTTTTGTTTTTCACCTAATGTTGTTTGCCTTATCAAAATAATTTAATATTTATACATTGAAACTATATGTAAGGAAAACCCTGCTCTGTTTTGAGAAACCCTAAAATTTTATCTAGCAAAAACTTTATATTCCATATAAGTCTCCCATTATATTGTTCATTCCATATAATTCACAGTTACCTGTATCATTTTTCTCATAATTTGCATTCTTAATCATGGATAATGATAGATTATTCGGCACTGTATTATCAAAGTATAAAGTTGAAATGAGGGATTTAATCACACTGAAGATACATATTATGTTGTTTTGTGATTGCATATTAACAAAAATGGAATTCACAGTGTGATAATGATGTTTCTGGTTGGGGAAAGGTTGATGAAAACAAAACATGACCTGTATTGTGAGGAAAAGTCATATTAAAAGTAATAAATTCATTTTCGAAAGAGGAGCTGAATTTAATTGCACAGGAAATAATTAATAAAATGGAAAAATGCATTGGTGGAGGATCTGCAATAATCCAATGTATTATTCTTTGGAATATCTTAAATTGAATTAGGCTTTAGTACTTATATTTAAAGCCATACGAAATGTACTTTCCGAATCATTAAAAAGAAAATCCTAAATCAATGTGTTTCAGAGGCACCTGAGATCTCTGAGAGACATCTAAATCACATTGATTTAGGTTGAATCTTAATCTTTAACTGAAATCTTTTAAGTGTGATAATATGCATTGTATTAACTATTATACTTCCCAAATCATTTAAAAGCAAATCCCAAATGAATGTGTTTCAGAGGACTCCGAGATCTAACTGAATCTTAATCTTTAACTAAAATTTTTGAGTGTGATATGTTTTGTATTAACTATTAAACTTTTGTGATACTAAGCAATACATCACGCGATATTCCTCCTAGGATGACCATTATTCAAAAGTGTGACTCTATCTGCGTTATTAGTAAGCATTATCGCATTTGACTGGTTATTGGTGAAATGTATCATTCGAAAATCATGTACACGTTTTTTGATCGAGCCTTGGAAAATCCAGCTTCATAGGTTTGCCTCAGATAAAGCGTATCTTTCATGTGTGTGGTTCTTTGGATACAAATTGCAATATGACACTAAAATTGATATTAAATTTTACTAAAATTAAGGTCTCGTAGGATATTAGAAAATATTCATGGTAAAGTCTCTTCTAACCCCAGGTTAACTGATGGTTGATATTTCCATTGGCTGCTTAGATAATTTAATGCTTACTAAGTTTTGTTTTCTTCTTCAATTTCTGATATCTATCTGCTCTTTCAGATGCAGATGCTGGTGTACTCTATGAAATTATGGGTGATATTCAAAATAAAGAACATAAAATTCGGCATCCAAGTGATGGTATGATGTTCCTCCAATTTTCAAAGATTTTTTTGCATTTTAATTATCATATTAATTATTCATTTGTTATTTTTTCATTTCAGTTCTCTTTTTTGCAACTGCTATGGAAGTAGTGAGTAGTAATTTAATATTTCTTCATATATGATACCGTCTCTTAAGATGAAATCTTGATGATATACTAAAACATGATATTTTAGAACTAAATTTATCAATACCTAAACTTCTTAATCATTAGTAATTTGAAATAAAAGTTAAATAATGATAAAAAATTAATGAATAAAAAGAAAGTGATATTATAAAAGAACCAATGATATAAAAATTATATTTAAAAAATTATAAAAATTTAAATCACTACTGGTCAAGAAAGGTGTAAACCAATCAATAAATGCAAGCCAATAAGAAAAAATCTTAAAATATCATTTTTTAAATTCATTTTATGCATATCAACTGTTTTTAATGGATTATTATGTAACATATTTTTTTTATTTATTTCCAATTCATGCTTCTTATGATTATTTATTATATGAAAATTTATCTGGTTTTGATTTTGTATAAGCTGGCACAATGGAGTTTTTAAAACAAATTACTAATGAAGAAATAATCTTTAATATAGCATCATTTGCGTATGTCTATTTATGAAATAAAAAATCTGTTCATAGTACTTGATACATCTAACTTTAAAACACTGTAGTGACCTTGTTCAGTTACTTATCTTTAGCATTATATTATATATGTCTAAAAAAATTTTTTAAAAAAGCAAGTTTGTTTTTCTAAATACGAAAAGCAAAGTTCAAATAGATTTTTATAGGTTTTTTGTTGCATATATTCTTGGAATTATTAGCATTGTTTATTTTATGAGTTTATTCGACTGCATTTAGCCATTTAATGAAGCATTATTCAACTTTCTTTTTATTAGTGTTGGAAAAGTCTTGCGGATAAAGATTTAGCTTATCGTCTTCACAAGCTTCTAGAGTACAAAAATAATTGCAAACTATTAGGAAATGCTTTAGCAGAAAGTCATTATTTGTGAGTTATTAGTTTTTACTTATTTTATGAATATAAATGTTTTGTTTGAATACAAAATATGTATTGTTTTTGGTATAGTCCTTTTTTTAATAAATAAATGTGTTTATAATTGACATTATTTTCTTAAAAAAAGTAATAAACATAAAAATTGCTCGAGTGCAAAGAGTCTTAAAACTTTTACTGTATGTATTAAGTAATTAACAAGTGTGTACATAAGAATTTTCTTCTATAATACATGATTGCCTACTATAGAGGCTAGAAAATTTTTTACTGTAATGTTGTTACCAATTGAAAACAGCTGCAGCATATTGTGTTTCATTTTCAGAAATAAATGCATTTGAAACATAATATTATGCAACAGCAAATTCAAAAATAATTAAAAATTTATTATATTTCAAAAATAAGCAAGAAATATCTCTTTTAAATGGTCTTCAATGATTTGTCTTATGAACTGTAACATGTGAAATATGACTAAAATAGTCTAGAGCAGTGTTCCCCAACTTTTTTATCACAGCGGACCTGCCAACGTTTGATAATTTTACCGCGGCCCACTGGGGAGGGAGGGGGGACGCTGATTGCTTATATTTTAGATTATTTTGATTCATTAATTTTAATTTAATTGTATTTGAACATGCCCTCAAAATAAAATATAGTTACACCAAAAAATAACTATAAAGGGATTTAACATTTAAACTTACTAGAACGTTAAATCAATGAGAACCCTGAGCTTGTTTCCTTGCAATGAGACGATTCCATCTGGGGGTAATCGGAGACAATGATACATTACAAACATTAAAAAATGTATGCCTCTACCTTCGGGGGCCCCTTTTATTTAAATCAATAAAATTTTAATGGAACACGGATATTTTTAATTTGGGTTATAAATCTAGGAATTTAAATTTAGTTTCAATGAAATGGGCGGCCCGGTACCATTTGATCTACGGACCGGTCCGCGAACCGGGGGTTGGGGAACACTGGTCTAGAGGACATGAAAACTAAGTTACCAATACCCTGTTGACCCTGGAATATATAAATCTCCAGCGTGCGAAAAATTTTGCTATCATGGTTTATGTAGAAAAACTTTTTACCAACTTTAAATAGCTGTAAAAAAATTCTTTACCTTTGTTTGCTATTAATAGCTGAAAAAGAAAATTAGATTAATTCTGAATTTCAAGTTACTTTATTGCTTCTCCTTGATGCATTTGTGAGATCAGTCCTAATTAAAACCCTTGAGTTTTTAAATATAACTCTTCTTGTTTTGAAATCGTTTGTTTTGTTTAGCAATAGATAGAATAATTCTGAATGCGAATAGAGTGAAAGGGATAAAGTTGAATGTATATATTAATGGAGGGGTCAATGGTAATGATGAAAGCAAATGATTTTGTATCAAAATATAAATGTACACAATATCTCTTAATGTATATTTCTATGATCAGCAACAATAATTAAAGAAGTGACTATTATATAAAAATATTCTCTTTATTTCTATGCAGTAAATGTTTCTTCCGTCTCCTTTCTGAAACTGAAGACATTGACATATTTATGGAATTATATGAAAAATTTATTCCGAATGTAAGTAAAACAATTTTTATTTATGTGGTCTTTTAATTGAATTTTTTGCATTGCTTATTTTTGAAACCTTTGACAGTTAGAAAAATATAGGTTAATTTTTATGCTCTACACACATTGTTTTTGCATTTTAACTTAAGTAATTTAACATAAATCATAATAGTTTAAGATGACAAAAATACTGTTATAGGTCAGCTGTCAAGAATGCTTCTTAGCATAAATCAGTTGTTCCTTAGCAATTGTCAACCATTGTGTTTTTGAGCTTGCAGGCTACTAAAGCAACTATTTTTAAGTGTCAACTTCAGTGGAGGTCCTGTTCTATTAAAAACATGGAATTTTTATGTAATATAATTTGCATATATTTGTGAATTTTTTTCTTCTTACTTAACTTATTCAATTCGGGTGGGAACTCTATATCCTGATTTTTATTCAGAAGTTTGATACTAAATAATCTAAAATTTATTTATTTTACTTAGTCTTACACACCAGAGCCAATAGTTACTCTATCTGTTATTGAAGCTGTACATTTTGTTGGTGCCTATAAATATTTACCTAAGCTTTGTTCAGGTAAGCTCCTTTTGCAATTATACTTTTTCTTTTTTTGTCTCTTTATTTCTAATATAACTCTTTGAAAACAAAATTCAACATTTCTATAAATAAAAAAAATTTCTAACTTTGCTGCTGTATGCTGAATATTAGTTGATTTCTCTGAAAGATTCATTAGATTTTTGACTTATTTGGTATTACCATCATTATAATAACTAAAAAATAGAAAAAATAGCTTTTTAAAAAAAAAGATGCGTTGGGTTTTTGAATTATTTGGAATTATCTTTTACAAAAATTTGGATATTTGATTTTACCAAAATTTTCAGAATTTGTATAGAATGTGAAATTGATTTTTAAGTTTTTTAAGTTAAAACTAATGTTAATCTGGAATTTTAAGAAACCCCTTAGATTTAAATACTTTTAAATCTATGCAGGGGTGCCACTCTTCCGTCTTGGGGACGGAATTCCGTCTTGGGGACGGAATTCCGTCCTGTTAAAAAATATCAAATTCAGAAATTCAATTTTAAATTTAAAAAAAAAAACATTTTAAAAATAAAATATATGTATACATTGCTAAAAATGTATTTTTTTTCGATAATTATTTCAGGAAAATATCTTTTCCCGTTTATTTCTTCCTAAAATTTAGAAGTAAAGTCAAATTATTCACATAAGCTCAAAAAGTGTTAATGTAAAAACTGATTGCCAGAACAAAAGAAAAGCTTCATCTCCCTTAAAAGAGAAAGGAATTAAGAAAGCTGATAATCAAACTAAATTTATTTCAAAGAAAATAACAAGTTTTTTTATGAAGCAATAAAATTAGACTCGGATAGCAGTTTCTATGTAGTGGATCCTTATTTATAGAACATTTTGTAGTATTTTATTGAGAAATTAAGAATTTATATTGTTTTTTGTGCTTTGTTTATCTATAATAATCTTAGTTGTTAGTAATTACTTAATGTTATCGGAAAATTAAAACTACTTCTCAATCTTTAAAATCACATTAAATTTTTAATTTATTGTTATTTTATTTCTGTTCTGAATTAATGTTATGTGTTATTTTTAAGATTAATAATACAAATATTATTGATATTATACTAATTAAAATTTTCAAGAGGGATATTTGTTCACATTGCGCTACACCGTTAAAATATATAAAACTTTCAGTCCTGTGATTTTTTTAGAGTGGCACCCCTGTCTATGGGTAATAGATTTAAAATATAGATGTCAATCTAAGATAAATCTAATATAGATGTCAATACTTTTTATACCAAGAGTGAACAGCATTGACATTTATTTTGTGTCCTACTACTTCCCCTGTTGGGACATAAGTACTCATGATTGATTCCTAATATAAAGGTCAACAATCTTTAAAAATTCTGATGATGATAAAATTTTGTTTTCTGCATGTCCAAGGTTTAGTATCCTTGTAAAAACAATTCTGAAGTAACAGTTTCTTCATATTCTTCCTAAATACATGGCGCATAGCATTTTTAAAAAGTGCTGAATCTCGTGCCATACTCTCAGCACTTCAGTACGTATTAACTCAGAAACACACTAATAATATATTCCAATTCAAAAAGTTGCATTGAAGCGCTTCATAATCGATCTCCTACACCTCACTCCATTTTCAATAAAATTTTAGACATTTGTGACATTTTGTTATAGGATGGACATAAAATAGCTTTTTGTTGGATCCCAGGTCATACTAACATAACAGGAAGCAAAACTGCTGACTCAATGGCAAAATTGACAAACAATCCACTGACTTATTCTGATTTAAAGAAATCAATTCAAAATGCGCTCAATTCACAATGGCAAAACTGTTGGAAGAATGAAACTAATGACAAACTACACGCCATTAAACCTTTCATACAGTCTTATAAACAGCTAAACATCAGTCGAAAACTTGAAGTGCTTTTAAACCGCTTGCGTATTTGTCACACACGAATATCTCACAAACACCTTTTTCTAAATGAACCAGAATGCACCCATTGTAAAGAACCTTTAACTGTTATACATATTTTAACCGAACATAGCAAATTTAAAAACCAGAGACTATGTCATTTTGGTAGCTTCCATTCGTCATTATTTTCACTAATTGGAGATAATCCTCACTGTAACATTTTCTCATACCTTAAGGACATTGGCATTTATACATATATCTAGTTTTTAAACTAAAACAGAATTGTGAGCCTAGTTGTAAAATATCTACCTAGTTGGAGGAGCGATATAGCCCAAACTGGCTCTTGTGCCAAAAACTCAAATCAAATCAAGCATGTGCAAACTATTACTAAGCTGGGTTCGGGTGGGATTATTGCATTCTCATGTGCAAATGTGCTGCATTTTGCAAGATATTTTCAATTTCAGGCTTCATTTTTCACTATATAAATTAGGACCGAAAAATCTCTCAATTTTTTTATAGTGGCTAATATAATCAAGGAAAGAGTTCTTTGTCAGAAATTAATTATTTTATCATGATCATGTAAAGTCTTTGAAAATTATTTTGCATTTTCTTAATGTATATAGTGCTAAAAAAGTACTTTAAAAGGTGCTCTTTTTTTTCTGAAAGATTTGGCTATGTACCCTGTAAATGGAATAATAAATCTCAAATTAATATTTAAGCAGGGAGAAAACAAAAAAAACTATCAAAATCCAACAAGTCACTGGTGTTTAACCAAAACATCACATCCAATTTGATTGCTGGTTACAACTTGAAGGTGTTTATAATAATCACTTTTCAATTTCATGTTTCTGGTAGAAATCAAACAGGTTTTGATGTTTTGTACTCTTTTTCTCCCCCTTCATTTTGTTGCATATTATAAAAATAAAAGTGCTCCTATTTAATTTATCCAAACTGTATTGAAATGTACTATCTTTACAGATGTCCTTTTATTCGAGCAGACTGAGCGAACAAATATCCTTGAAGCTTTGTTAGAAGCTGCTGCTTGTACAAAAAATGAAGAAAATGTAAATATTGCTGCTTCCTGCATTCCAAATTCCNCAAGAATGCTTCTTAGCATAAATCAGTTGTTCCTTAGCAATTGTCAACCATTGTGTTTTTGAGCTTGCAGGCTACTAAAGCAACTATTTTTAAGTGTCAACTTCAGTGGAGGTCCTGTTCTATTAAAAACATGGAATTTTTATGTAATATAATTTGCATATATTTGTGATTTTTTCCTTCTTACTTAACTTATTTAATTTGGGTGGGAACTCTATATCCTGATTTTTAATTAGAAGTTTGATACTAAATAATCTAAAATTTATTTATTTTACTTAGTCTTACACACCAGAGCCAATAGTTACTCTATCTGTTATTGAAGCTGTACATTTTGTTGGTGCCTATAAATATTTACCTAAGCTTTGTTCAGGTAAGCTCCTTTTGCAATTATACTTTCTTTGTCTCTTTATTTCTAATATAACTCTTAGAAAACAAAATTCAACACTTCTGTAAATAAAAATAATTTCTAACTTTGCTGCTGTATACTGAATATTAGTTGATTTCTCTGAATTATCATTTTTATTTATTTTGAAAGTTTCATTAGATTTTTGACTTATTTGGTATTACCATTACAATAACTAAAAAGTAGGAAAAAAATAGCTTTTTTTAGAAGATGCATTGGGTTTTTGAATTATTTGGAATTATCTTTTGCAATAATTTAAAAATAGAAAAAAAATAGTTATTCTTAATTTTGCCTGGTATTTTAAGTGTTACCAACAGTAAAGCTATGCATGTATATTATTAGTATATCATCTGTTATCCTACTTAAAAGCCAGAAACATCTGCCAGAGTTGGATATTTGATTTTACTAAAATTTTCAGAATATGTTTAGAATGTAAAATTGATTTTTTTTCTTCAAAAAATTACTTTTTAAAGTTTTTTAGGTTAAAACTAATGTTGATCTGGAATTTTAAGAAAAACCCTTAGATTTAAATATGACAATACTTTTTATACCAAGAGTGAACCACAGCATTGACATTTATTTTGTGTCCTACTACTTCCACTGTTGAGACATAAGTACTCATGATTGATTCTTAACATAAAGGTCAACAATCTTTAAAAATACTGATGATGATAAAATTTTGTTTTCTGCATGTCCTTCTTAAATTGAATAGGGAAAATGTTTAAGAGTCAGTGGCAAAAATTGTCCTTAACACCCACTGTCCGAGGTTTAGTATCCTTGCAAAAACAATTCTGAAGTAACAGTTTCTTCATATTCTTCCTAAACACATGGCGCATAGCGTTTTTAAAAAGTGCTTAAACATGCTGAATCTCATGCACGTGCTGAATCTCATGATCTCATGCTTCAGTATGTATTAACTCAGAATTGAACTAAATGGTTTATATATTCCAATTCAAAAAGTTGCATTGAAGAGCTACATAATCGATCTCCTACACCTCACTCCATTTTCAATAAAATTTTAGACATTTGTGACATTTTGTTACAGGATGGACATAAAATAGTTTTTTGTTGGATCCCAGGTCATGTTAACATAACAGGAAATGAAACTACTGACTCAATAGCAAAGTCGACAAACAATCTATCGAATAATCCACTGACTTATTCTGATTTTTAAAAAATCAATTCAAAATACACTCAATTTACAATGGCAAAACTGTTGGGAGAATGAAACTAATAACAACCTACACGCCATTAAACCTTACATAGAGCGTTTTAAACAGCTAAACATCAATCGAAAACTTGAAGTGCTTTTAAATCGCTTGCGTATTGGCCACACACGAATAACTCACAAACACCTTTTTCTAAATGAATCAGAATGCACCCATTGTAAAGAACCTTTAACTGTTTATACATATTTTAACCGAACGCAACAAATTTAAAAACCAGAGATTACGTCGTTTTGGTAGCTTCCCTCCGTCATTATTTTCTCTAATTGGAGATAATCCTCACTTTAACATTTTCTCATACCTTAAGGAAATTGGCATTTATACATATATCTAATTTTTAAACTAAAACAGAATTGTGAACCTAGTTGTAAAATATCTACCTAGTTGGAGGAGCGATATAGCCCAAATTGGCTCTTGCGCCAAAAACTCAAATCAAATCAAGCATGTGCAAACTACTACTAAGCTGGGTTCGAGTGGGATTGCTGCATTTTGCGAGATATTTTCAATTTCAGGCTTCATTTTTCACTATATAAATTGGGACCGAAAAATCTCAATTTTTTTATAGTGTCTAATATAATCAAGGACAGAGTTCTTTGTCAGAAATTAATTATTTTATCATGATCATGTAAAGTCTTTGAAAATTATTTTGCATTTTCTTAATGTATATAGTGTTTTCTTAATGTAAAAGTACTTTAAAAGGTGCTCTTTTTTTCTGAAAGATTTGGCTACGTACCCTGTAAATAGAATAATAAATCTCAAATTAATATTTAAACAAGGAGAAAACAACAACAAAAAAACTATCAAAATCCAACAAGTTACTGGTTTTTGACCAAAACATCACATCCAATTTGATTGCTGGTTACAACTTGAAGGTGTTTATAATAATCACTTTTCAATTTCTTGTTTCTGGTAGAAATCAAACAGGTTTTGATGTTTTGTACTCTTTTTTTTCCCCTTCATTTTGTAGCATATTTTAAAAATAAAGTGCTCATATTTAATTTATCCAAACTGTATTGAAATGTACTATCTTTACAGATGTCCTTTTATTCGAACAGACTGAGCGAACAAATATCCTTGAAGCTTTGTTAGAAGCTGCTGCTTGTACAAAAAATGAAGAAAATGTAAATATTGCTGCTTCCTGCATTCCAAATTCCTTTTTTTTTCACAGTAGTGGCATGTAGATTTCAGAGACGATTGATAAAAGCACCCCAATAAGATGTCTCTAAAAAGAGAATTAATGATATAAGCAGTGAAAACAAAAATATTTAGTTAAAAAAGAGGAAATAAAGCTGAAACTACGTATAATTAATTCATTTTTATTTCATGGAATGGGTAAAAAATTAGAATAAGAAAATTAGAATCAAAAAAGTATTCTCCATTTCTTGTTGATGTAAAAAGTATATAAATTTTAACTATCCACATCTTTATTATTGAATTTGCTTAGAAATTTTATTTCAGTGTAAAAATAGTATTATCAGATTTTTAATGTCCTTATATTAATTAGTGACCACTTTGGTTGCATGTTTAAGCCTGATGCCCACTTTGTGCCCCTATTTGAAAGCCACTGTTTTACAATATTAGCGTAATAAATTTTTCAATTTTAATCTTCATATACGTCCAGTAAAGAGATTTTATTATCTCCGCCCATTTAGATTGGATTGTTAGTTTTTTTTAATGTAATATCTTAAAAAATTGTAAAGAAGTTAAAAAAGAAAAAAAAGGAGTTCGATACTTAAACTGTTAAAAGGTACTCGAGTGATTTGTTTCCTAGTTTTTAGTTTTGTTGTGTTTGCTGAGCTGGTGCTTTTTTCACATTTCCCAATATTTTCAATTACATCTAAACTCCCTAACATCTAAACTTTTCATCCCGGATGAACTTTTTTAGTTTTTCTCTTGTAATTAAACTATATCACTTTTTTAAACTCTAGAAAGGACTCTTTATACAATTAAATGTACTGACAAGATTATTTTATTGCTTGCTTTTAGTAATTGTTATTTGATAAAATTGTAACTGAAATTATTTATTACTTTAAATTAAGATATATCTATTAATCTGTGCAATTGTTTTTGTTTTATTCATTTAACTTTAGATTCAAAAACCGTTGATAGAAATGGTTTGGAATATTTTTGATAACTTGATTACAAGATCAAAAGGAAGAAGATTACCATTTGAGTAAGTTTTCAACTACTTGCATTCTTAACATTCCTATCGAATTTTTGCACTTGTCCTTTATTTACTACAAAAATATGTTTCAAGTACTACTTAAAATTTGCTTTAATTTTAATATTGTGATAACTGTTTTCCAATTACAATATATTGCTTTTTCTGATGTTTCCTTTTGTATCAAATTTGTTTTAGATGGACTGGTCCTATGCTTTCAAATATCTTAAAAACATTTATGAATGGAAAGGATATGGAAAAATCATGGTAACTTTATAATTAATATAAAAAATTCTATTGTTTATTGAAAGTTTTCAATAATATTCTCTAACCTCTTATCTACCGCGTGTTTTTGCACTGGTTATTTTCTTGTTTTCTTATTTAAACTCCTATTGAAATTTTTAAAAAAAATATATGTAAGCAATTTATAATATGTATAGTAAAATTTATAAGCAATTTATTATCCATTGTTATGAAGGAAACAATTTTTTAAATAAAGAATATTGTATGTAAATAAGTTATATTTCTTTATAAAGGAATGCTTTTTAAATAAAATATGATTAACTCTTGAAACAGTTTATTATTCAATTTACAAGATTAGTGTGAATTGGCTTTGTTTTATGACTCTAACAGCATAATTATGGAGGCTTTGAATGAGCATTTTATTATCAGTAAAATGAAAAGTGAAGATATGAATTAGTTTAAATCAAGTTAGAGTCAAAGTAGTTTATTTTAAAACTGCCTTGTTGTTGTGTACCTTATTCAGATATTTAACTCTTCATACAAGCTTTGTAATACTTTCATATTTTGATGATTTATTATTTTATATGTTTTTGCCCTTTTATCCAGTAGAAAAAAAAACCTAATGTTGTTAAAATACACTTGTTTATGAAACAATTTTTTTGAACTTTGTTGAATAGAAACTTTTTTTTTTGTTCTAATAAGATTTCAAAACTGACATCTGAGCATAAGAATTTAAATAGCTTAATTGTCACTATTCATCTGTTTGTTTCAGCTTTATCTTTTTTTTTCCTTTAAGGCCTATTTTACAAAAACTAAAAGATGAAGAAACAACTATAATTGGGAGCCCTGAGTAAGTATTTTAATTTTAAAAGTTCTTTTTATTTTTTCTTCTTTTGGATGAAAGTTATTATTTTTTTTTCTCTTTTTGATAAATATTTCATATATTCAAAAAAAATTTTCTCACTGATAAGTTAATAACTTTTTTCCTTTTTAATTTTATATAAGATATAAATTGATAAATCACCTATAATTGAAATTAAAAGTATTAAAAATTATCTTTTCAAAAGTACATTTTGTAATGTTTATTTTGGAGTTATGTGTTCAAAAAATTTTTGTAAAAGAGAGGACTTAAACAAAGACAATAAAGATTATTAAAAATGCAATAATGGATTACATTTCAAACCATATTTATTTGTAAACATATACTGCCTCAATTTAATGTAGCCTAATCAAATATTTTATTCATTTCTAAATTAACTGTATTATCCTGTATCAGACAGAGTCCTAAATTCTTACGGTAGCTCATGACTCTAGGTTCCAAGAGAGCTTTTAAAACTATATAGATTTTAAAGTACAGCCTAAATAAGATCAAAGATTGTGTTATTTTCAATTAAAAAAAAAAGCATAAAGTAAATTTGAGGAGCAAATTTTGAATGCTTTTTATTTAACCCATCAGCGGTTCAACGTATAATACTTAATTTTTTTCTAAATACTTGCAGGCAAGAAACTGCATTTTCTACCTATGAATAACCCGTACAGTGCTCAAGAAAGAAAAGAAAAACGGACCACCCTGAATAACTTGATCTAATGTACAGACTTTCATACTAGTATATATCCCAGAACTTAAATATCCGATCATTAAGTCAAAAGTTATTGAGAGTGGTCTTTTTTCAGCGCACTGTACATCGAGAAAAAGCCTCATTGAATTTGGTTGCAATGCCCACCTATCTAGAATTAGAGAGAGAAAAATCACCCTTCTTACCACAGTTTTTTTTTATTGGAGAAGGGGAGAGGATGATAACCCTGAACCAAAGTTGTTTTTTAAAAAAATTTTAATATTTCAAAAATACCAAAACCATCACTGGGTTAAAATATAAGTTTAGTAAAATTTCTTAATCAATGTATTATCAAATGAAGACCTAGTCTGATATAATTTAGCTAAAACAAATTTAACCCACGTATTCTTTATTTAGATATAACAGATTTATCTTTTCATAAGATATATTTATTGTTAAGCATTTTAAATTGAGCAACTTATTGCTAAACATTACTTGAGCAGAAGAAAAACTTTTTATGAATATAATTGTTTTTAAAAGATGTGGGTTTTCACTGTTTAACCCCAAGATATACATTTTATTAGTTTAATTATATAAACACCTTACCTTGTTAAATTTGCTTTTGACTAATTAATTAGATTTTAAGATATAATCTATGATGATAATTCAACTTAAATGCATGTCCTGTTGCTCTTTTTTAACATACTTTTAATGTGGAAGTTATTTGTAACTACTTTACCTATGAATATTTATATCATTATTTATATATCATTATTTATTTTCATAGAAAAAGTGCCTTATTAGACTTTTGTCAAATGTGCCTTGAGTTTCAAGACTTCAAAAAGATGATGGTCAGTATATTTTAACTTAAATTAAATTGAACTAGGAGGCTTCTCCCCCTGCTCGCTGGCGCTCTCCAACCCCCGGAACTGCTTTCGCAGTTCATTTCGGATTGTTCGCTCATTGGATACGTTCTTAACATCTAGCTTTTGTATACTTTTTTGAACACTGAAGTTCCGAAAACTTTTCACTGTAGAAAATTCTAAACCTGTGCATTTCAATATTAATTTGAAATTGCAAACAATTCACATATTTTTCGTAATCACACTATTCTAAATTTCAGTTGTTGTGAAAAGTAACTGTTGTAAGTTTTGCTTTAAAGTCTTTCCCACCAGAGGGCTAAAACCATGTGTTGTAAAACAATATGAAATAGTACTGAACGCCGGATGTAAAGCATCGGCTTCGATTAGCGTATTAGCGTTTTATATAATATAGATTAGCCATATGATGCTCACTACGTGCTCTTGCGCGCCGAAGCCTATCAATTAAAAATGACAACTGTGGCCAACGCGAGAAAAGAAATATCATCGATTTTATTGATACATACGTATTAGCGTTTTATATAATATAGATGTAATACCCATATTCAATTTTATTATTTCATTTTATAAATAAAATTTACTTATTATGATTAAACTCCACGTAAAATTCGAATAATTACACTTGAAAGTCTTAAAGTATTGATGGCATCTTGTATGGTAACATTTTCGTTGTTAAAATAACCATATTTATATATTTTATAGGTATGTGTCAAGTATGCAGAAAACAGTTATTATCCTGACTTTAAAGATGATCTACTTAACATAATTGAAGAAAGCAAGTTAAGTGAAAACGAAAAGTAAGTTTTCTTTTTCATTATTATATTATATTTTGCCACTTTAGAATTTGATAAATTGATTAACTTTCATATCTTGCTTTCATTAGGTATATAAAATCTTAGACACTTTTAAATATTTATTTCTAAATGCTCATAACATAATTATGAGACAAAATTACCTTTTCTCACTTGAAAATTTTATTTAGTTGAACAAGTTTGATAATATTTATGTTGTATAAATTTTATTTACTTAGCAACTAAATGCAAGAGAATTGCAAGGTGTTCAGGAAACTGAAAAATGCTTGCAGAATGTCGTTGCTTGCTAAAAATTATCTCCCAAGCTTAATAAAAAATTTAAGCATATAAAGACAAATTTTTTTATTGAAGTTAAAATATATTTAACATTGATTATTTAGCTTCAAAATATTTTGTACCATTCAATTTTCAATGAAAAACATTTCATGCAATAACTGTTTTCTTATCATATTATCTGTAGCTTTAAAATTTTTTTCAGAAGTTTGTTAAAATTCTCCATTTCTTTTTTCAAATCTTTCAATTCACTTGTCTTTTAATTTTTATTTTTTTAATATAATTATTATTTCAGGCTTATAAATTCGTTTCACTCATTAAAGAAAAAGTTACAAAAAATTACTTGCCAAGAAAGTTCTGTTTAATATATTTATCGACGTATGTTTCAGCTTTCATCATTCAATTAAGAGCTTTAAAAATAATTCTTAATAATCAGTTTTAAAAAATTTTAACTTTTTAATATTTTTTTTTTTAAATTTATACTTATTATATTAAACAGTGAATGGTATAAAAACTGCTACTCAAAAGTTGTAATTAAAAAAGGGGGTAATGTATAATTTATGTATAACTGTACTGTAATAGTATAGATAACTGTACTTTTATCATTCCATTTCCGATACATAAACCTTACTATTATGAAATAAAAAAATTAAATAAATAATCTTATTCTGCAAAACAATATTTATTTTAATCATACAGTTGCTGAAACAGTCTTAGTTCTCTTATTTTGAAATTGAGAAGACATTTAAATTAAAAGTTAGGAAAATTTTCATTTTCTGTTTTTGACAAGCTATTATTTCTTTCATTGCAATAAAAAATGCATATTAAACTGCTTGAGGTACAGTGCACAAAATAAAAAACGGACCATCCATAATAAATTTTGATCTAATAATCGACTCTTAATGTCCTATGCCTCAATTTTAAAGCCTGGTGGAGCTGACCTGAAATATGATAATTAATAAGTGCAGACGATACTTTAAGTTACGAAAACAGACACAAAAACGTACTTTCTCTGAATAAACATACCTTTTATTCAGCGGTTTTAGATTTTTTACTTCTAAAATATAGGGGGCATCCACAATCTAAGAAATATGGCCCCCATAGTTTGGTCAGGAGAATGATTCAAAGTTGGGACCCCTTAATGTTAATTTTACTTTTTACGTATTTCGCCATTTCTCGAGAACTTATCGAGCCAACTGAAAAACTTTTGCACACAGTTATAAAATTCGTTTATCCGAAGATAATTCCATGCAAGAAATGAATTTAAGTAAACATTTATTATTTTTTATTAAAAAGTTTTTTAGCATTTAGTTATTGACCTCAAACTTTCATTTTTTTTCTCAAATAAAATAAAAATGCTGTAATTTAGTTTTCTTTTTACCACATTATTTCACAGCATCTATATTAAATATTATTGAAAAATCGCCATTTAGGCTTAAATGAGTTAAATAAAACATTTAAGTTTTAATAGAATATGTTTAGAATAAAGTAATGTAGTTTAAATGTGTGGTTTGTAAAATTTCTGAGTTAAAAAAATGTTTTTATGTTTTTCTTTTTCTAAAAATTAAAAAGTTTTAGGTCTATAATTAATTGTCAAAAAAATTATATTTTTCGTGACATTTTCAATACTTTTCCTTTTTAAAATTATTTGAAAAACATAGTTCTAATTTTTGGAGTGGCATTACATTTTAGTTTCTTATAAATTTTATGTTATTTTATACACTTTAAGTATTGTTAATTTGAATTCCCTGTCATAGAATTTTTATTGGTTTTTAAATAATTAATTAAATTTATTTCTTAGAATGGATATAAAAGCTGCACTTAACTCTGCTTCATTCGGCAGTGAAGAGACGTCTAGCAGTAGTAGTAGCTCCAGTGATGATGCATCAAGCAGTGATAGTTCTAGTGATTCATCTAATGAAGAAGAAAATGATAATCAAAGTTCAAAAACTGAATAGTTAATGTAGATACCTAATAAATTTTAGTTTTAAGTATGTTTCATTACAAGTCATACAGCCTTTGAATAATTAAAATGATTACACACAGTATGTCTTGATATGGAAAGTCTATCAAAATTGAGTCTAACAAAGGATAGAGTATACTTTATGTTATGTAGATTAAAGCAAAAAACAACTTGAAAAAAGCACAAATGAAAGTAAATAAATGAACATACTATAGTTTCAGTTCTAAACAAGAGTCTTCCTCTGTGTCTAAATGTCAAATGAAGACATAGAACTAAAAAGACAAGCATGCATAAAGTGGTTTAACTAATAGTATTTAGTCATCGATTAAGTAAACTTTAAAAAAAACCAAAAGATACACCCAAAATTAGGGTATGAACCAATTTTCTACACTGTTGGAATCCAAGTCACAGATTTGAGTTTTCTACCAAAATCATTCAACACTGCTCTTCACCTTTCAAACTTGATTTTTGGGAATCATTCTATGTTTTGGGAAATTCTAATAATTTAGTTAATGATAATGATCTTTTGTGTATCCCAACAGTTCACAATATTCGAAAGTCTATATTAAATTAATCCGTTGCACCCTGGGATTCCCACCAAATCCACTAACACCTGTTCTTATCACCCCCTTATTATTTCCTTGTTCAAACTTAAATCTCTGTCCCTATTGGTTAAACCAATAACATGTTTGTCTTTTTACTTCTCTACCTTCACTTGACGTTTAGATTCTTATATAGAACTGAAACTATAATATGTTGATTTATGTACTGTCATTTGTACTTATTCTTTTTTGTTTTAGAATACATTTTTATTGGTGTGAAACTGTGATTAAAATTTGAATAGTTATCAATTCTCATTTTAGATCAAAGCAAGTTTAAAAGGAAATAAGGAAACTTTCCAACAGTACTGTTTCAGTAAGACTATAAAAATTATCCAATTCTTCAGATTTAAAACAAATTTTTTAGTGACTGCAGGTATGGAACTTTGATTTTTTCTACTGATGTCTTTCATTATGTAGGGTTTCAAATGAAAATTGTGTTCGGGACTCAAAAGTCTTGGTCATAGAAAGATGTCAGTCCAAGACTGCTAATATATTACTCAAACTACCATAAAATAATTATCAGTGGTCTCCCGATCCTGCACTGTAGAGGAATGGTACACTGTTCTGGCAATTAGTTTCTTCAGTTTCTTATTTTGGACTATGTTTTTGTCTCAAAACAACATACTTCAACATAATTGTGACACTTCATATACTCTGTATTCATTTAAATGTGAACTTACAGATGTCTATGATCTGAGAGAGTTGTGGCATTATTTCTTGTCATGGGGGGTATCAAACATTTGAATATATCATTGAGAGATAAGAATCATCCCACCTGATCCTAGCTCTTCTCTCCCATGCAATTGTGAAATTATTTTTATGATTTAGTAGCAGAGTATAAAATCATCCCACTAACCTCTGGTACTTTTATGGACTGTTTTTTGTACTGTTGTGTAGCCAACTATATTTTACTAAATTAAGTATTGAAGGCGGAATAAAAATTAGAAGATAATTAACAAAAAATTTTTTTCTAACGATAAAACAATGGTATTAATAGATAACTGTCTAAATTTATTAAATGGAACTTAAATGGATTTTTGTTTCATATTTTAAAATGCTTCCACTTTTTATTTAAAGAAAGAGATGTAAGAATGGAGAGTTACATTTCCAATCTTTTGTTAAAATCTGAGTTAATTTTTTTTTAACTTCATTGTTCATGTTCATTTTCCCCTCCTTTTTTCATTACAGACATTTTTCCATTTGCATTGAGTTTTGCAATTTCTCTGGCAGACCTTAAAATAAGTAGGTAAAAATAACTTTGGAGTAGAAAAAGGCCAACACCCTTCCATAAAGCATATCTGTAAAATGAAAGTCACTAAACATCAATTAATTTAGCAGCTTCTCATAATTTCAACTACAGTGGGGAAAATGTAGCTAAAATATAGTAAAATTCTGGACACTATTTAATAATTTTATAACCGGCAGACCCGATTCTCAGTTTATGACTAACAATATTGAAATTCGTAGCCTTGTAATTTTGGACCCAAGTGAACTCCTGACAAAAGCTAGCTTTCGTGGAGGACTTTTTGGAGAAACTAACCCACACTTGCGTTACATGGAGGGAAAAATTTCCCACAGTTAACCTGACGGCAAGGGGACACTAACCAATGACCCATCTACCACTGTGGATATTTTACATCAGCACTATGGTCTATAGGAGCCTGGAGCAAAATTCACATCATTCAGCCACCACTACGTTTCGAACCTGGGACACCTCATCAGGAAGCAAACTATCTCTATCTCCATAGCCACCGCGACTTTTCAGACACTATTTGGGATAACAGGAAGCAAAAGAGCAAGCTACTTCCTCACTCTGCACGCGTTAAAAAAAAAAGGTTATGAGTCCTTCAAATGCCATCTAAGGGTACTGAACATTTAGAAAACTTAGCCTTGAATAAATTAATAAATACTTAATGGATTTTAAAATGTAATCTCAGTTTAAAAGGTCGTATTGAAATAATTCTCATTCCAGAGTGGCCAAAGAACAGAGAAAACACTACTGAATTTTACCCAAGTGGAAAAAAATCAGAAAATTAAACTCATATACTCAAAAAGTTAAAGAAAAATAAATTTTAATTTGTGGTACCTAATGTCCCATTTTTTTAATTGATCTTGTAATCTTTTTTTTTTTTTTTTAAATAATTATTTATTTCTAACTTTATGACAAATATAAATGTTCTGTGATATATTTTATGTGCATGTGTAAGACATAACTAGAAAAATTAACAATAAAATTTATACAAACGATTATGGAAATAAGGGGACTTCAATAAAACTAGTCTGGGAGAGCCAGAGTGTTTGCGACCCCCTTGCATTTAAAAAGCCCTCTCAATATTTCAGACAAATAAAGACACTTTTCATAAATCACAATCGATTTAAATTCCTCAAAGTTAAAAACAAGAGAGAGAGAAAAATAAGTCTTTTTTTCTTCTTCCTTGAATTTTTTTTTCTTCGTTAGTGAAAATTTGAGAGCTTTTGTGATAGTGTAATTTCGCCCCCCCCCCCGAAAAAAAATTGGACCCCTGCGACGTCCTTGTTTTTACGAGTCCTTTAAAAGTGCATTTTGGACCAATTTGCGACTGGTAACTATGAAGTTTGGAATTAAACAAAGTTAAGAGTTGATTTGCTTAATTCTTTTAATTGAAAAGTTTATAGGAAAAAATGCATTTATTTTGTAGGAAACTATAAACGGCTAAAGGTGTTATTACTCCCAAACAATTTATTTTAAATATCATGAAACTTTTTATTTAGTCTGTTGTTATTCATAAATTAAGCTGACTAATTAACGTGTATTTTAATTCTAGATACAGTTCTGTTGAGCCTGTTATTTTATGTAATAATTTGTAGGCTGAAACAAAACAATTGATCCTTTAGCCTTTCAGAATGAGTTTAATCTCTATGTAAAAGTTTTAAAATAATAATGTATAACAGATGAAGGGAATTAACAGATAATTAAAAAAATTATTAGGCCACCCATATTCGATATTTTTTTTAAATCTTCCACTCAATGAAATAATTTGATTTTATATAAATTCTGTATAAATAGGTTTAAAATGCATCGTTGGAGAGGAAATAACAGACTAATTCTTTGTATTTAATATGTCCCTAAAGGAATCAATGATTTGAAAAATTAAAAACAGGAATGTATAATTTAGGAACAGGAATGCTCTTAAGTAACCAGAAATTTACTGTCTAAAAGATTCAAAATTAGTTACCTACAAAGTTCGTCAAATTTAAGGTACTCTTATTATAACCAGGAAACTATCTAAAACAATGTGTTTGAAATGATCTCAAAACGTGCTCCGACAAACAATTGCTGTAAATTACATTTCTAACGACAACAAAAATTTAAGAGCTCCATAAACTATGCTTGACGCAAGAACGAAAGCAAACAGAAGAAAAATAAAACGAAAGGTGACTGGAACACCTCGGGCTTTTGGGATCTGAAAATTCTACTTAGAAGGTCCAATTCTTTGATTTTTTTTCTTTTTTACCAATTTTAAATTACAGTGAAACCTCCAAGAAAGACCACCTCTATAAACGACCACTTTTGGTAGGCGTGGAATTTTTTTCGTAGACTTTGTGCTGGAGAAAACCTTTACGAGAGACCATTAAAACCTCTCCCAGCGACAGAACAAACACCTAAACCAAATGCGGAAAAGGTCAAATAAGGAAACGCGAAAAAACAATGAAACAGAAAATTTATCAAAGCAAATAAGATTCAAAATATTTGTGTGAGGCTAATATTTAGCGAGCTCTTTTTGAGGGTTGCCACTTCACAGGGAAAAACTGGAAAATACAGGGAATTTAAAAATCACCTAAAATAACGGAAAGTGCAGGGAATTTCGATTTTTTTTCTTTACAAACTGGGAAAATACAGGGAATTTTGTTTCTTATTTTTGTCTTTTAAAAAAATGGTGCCACTCAAAACGTAATTTATGGGTAATCTTTTATTTACTGTAGCATTATTTAAGCATGTTCAGCTGTTTTTCAGCAATTAAAACTAATAAATATAATTAGCCCAACATAGCACTATTTATATTTATTAGTATATAAGCACAGAAATTGTCGTTTCCTCTTAATATATTGCGTATAATATGTACAGGGAAAACACAGGGAATTTTTTTTCTCCATATTTGAGTGGCAACCCTGTTTTTGATGATGCAACCTCATGTTACAGAGAGCGCTAAAGACGATGCAATCAATGATTAAATTTTAGAGTTGAAAATTAAATTAGGGAAAAAAAACAAGCATCTCAAGCAAACAAACCCCTTCTCATCTTTTAAAGCTAACTAATTTTTATGATGTAAAATTAAATGCAAACTTAAACAAAAAACGTAATTGTTTATTTATTTAAAATAGCTTCATCATTCATAATTGGTGAATTTGTTTTTACACATAATTATAAGAGTCGAGGGTAATTTTTATGAACTCTAAATTTTACTT